GCGCTACTGTATTGTATAGCGAGGCGGAGTTAAACAAAAAAAAATAAAAACAACAACATGATATCCAATCAAGCATTTCTCGTTGAGTAAAAAACTAAATAAAAATAAGACGTAATCACGATCAATCCTTCCACTTCACTTTATTCCTAATTAGACAGACAGGCTGTAACAGTGATTTGGAAAGGATATCGGGATTCTCAGTGCTTGTACGGCCTCTTCATCCAAAATTCCTGAAGACTTAAGTGTTAAATTACCGTTAGATCCGTGCCAGCAAAAAACGTTACACATGGTTTGTCGTCATAAAACAATCACTCCGCTGTGCCAATGACCACACGTTAAAAGAAAACGATTCTAGCTAGTTGCAAAGGTACAGAATATAACTGTGAAAGTGCTAGTCTGACTGCCAAATACACTGTAGTTTCACAACTCTGATCTGTTAGACAAATTTAAAACATTTAGTCAAAAATATCAATTTAAGATAGTTTAAAGTGCCGACATTCAGTTCTCAAACATTAAATAGTGATAATTACAGCTAGAAATACAAATGCAACTAGTTTTTAAGTAGAGGGCGTAGTTTTATGGAATAGAAAATATTTCTTTATAATATAGTGTACAGTCTTCTTATTTCCCAAACTCGATAACTGTTATCAATTTTAAAGCAAGCAACAAAACGTTACATATAAAATTGATCTGTAACGCACATGCATACTTAATTATTTGATCTTACGATTAGTTTTATTACTAGACAGGATCCGTTTCAATTTATATCATACAAGTTAAATATATTAGAACCTCATTTATACAAGTTAAAAATTTAAACCAATCTCGCAATATCAGATTACGTTTTCAATTTCTTTTTACATTTGATTACTTGAACCAGAAGAACGTCATCTCCGCAGCCTTGAAAATTTAATAATAATAATAAAAAGAGTGTAAGTAGAAGTATTATTTTCAACAGAAGGAAGCCCTGAGGTGATTTATACCCAAATTATAAGGAAACAAAGAGATCGCAAGATTTTTTTCTTTTTAATTATTATCTAGATATTGGAGTGGTCAATGTTGCCTGGAGGGTTGCTAGTAACTACCTACCCGATTAGTAGTCATCAAGTTTATCGAAAGTAAAAAGTTGGCATTTTAATCAGAGATCAACTGAACAGTTTCATTTTAGAACTTGTTTTTCTATCTCAGCTCTGTCCGGCGCTAGAAATTGAATCCCGGATTTTAGGGTTGTAATGAAATCGACATTGATTACATAATCTTTCGTTTATTTGTTTCAAAAGTTTCGCGCAAAGCTACACGAGGGCTATCTGCGCTAGCCATCCCTAATTTAGCAGTGTAAGACTAGAGGGAAGGCAACTAGTCATCACCATCCACCGCCAACTTTTGGGCTACTCTTTTACCAAACGAATAGTGGGATTGACCGTTACTTTATAACGCCCCCACAGCTGAGAGAGTGAGTATGTTTGGTGGGACCCGCAGACTGCGCCCTAACTACCTGGCCATGCCGGGCCCAGGGGGAGGATAAATAACTTTTAGGAATATGTGCTTGTGTAGTCTATCCTCTAAGGCTACTAGTAAGGATAAATAACACTTACGTATATATGCTTCTGTAGTTCAAGAAATAATTCCCAGTAGAATTTTCAATAAAGTACTAAAAAAAAAACCAACAACATCGCCTTAAAAGTTCAGACTCCCACTTACCTATTGATAGCATTCCAGAGATATGAATCACTCATAAAAAACAAAAAAAACAAACAACAACAACATACGTTTCAGTATGTTTATAATACGTTCAGCAAGGCAATATACTGTCGGGTATAAAACCAAGAAACCACAATCAACGACTTTCCGACATTGGCGAAATCGAGAAGTGTGGTGTTTACCAACTTCTTTTTTAATCCTTGAAGATCATATCAATGTCCAACAAGGGCTCTAACCACCAAAAACATCACAGTTTACTAACTTCTTTCACCAATATCTGGTCATCAAAATGTTGAAAACATATAAAGCACAACTCAAAAAATAATAAATTTTGCTTTTTTTAGCATTTATTTTACGTAAGTATTTTAATTCTTTCATATTCTCACTTGACGAAAATATGCAAAGCACAAACTGACTCAACACACGGAGTTACTAAATAACGTTGCTTTATTTACCACAAAATAAAATAATTTTTTGTTCAATATTTTAAGCCTTTAGGTCTGTTTTTTTTTATTAAATCGTGTTTTAATACATAAATCAAAATTATAAGTGATCATCAACAGGAAGTCACATAACTATCTTATTACCAACTGCATGAAGTAAATACAATAATTTCAAAACACATTTTCAAACACAAGACTCAATTTATGTTACTACAAATTTATTTTATTTTTTAAAATCTGAAGAGACACCTGGTTCTTTAAACATTCAGAAGGCAACTCTGATTAGCTGGTTCACACCCACACCCACAACCGCACCTTAACATCATGAAATATGCAATAACTGTACGATTTTATCAGAAAAGGTTCCATTAGCCCTAAATTATACATATGTATGTATAACACCACCAAATAATGATTTGAAAGCAGGCTGGCAATTGCGTGAGCAAAATTTTATTTCCATACATACACATAATCCAAACATATATACATAAAACTAATGCACAAAGTTGCGTGTATGTCGTCAACCAACCTAATGGAACTAACATGTTATAACTCATTTAACATGCACAATTAAGCTAAAACGAAAACAGACATGAAAATATTAACTTTGTTTGGAGTTTATGAACAAATTACACAATAGGCTATCCGAGTTATGCCCACCGAAGGTATCGAACCCCAATTTCTTACGTTGTAAGCCCCCAAACCTACCACTACTAAACCTTCAGGTTGAGATAACAGCTTAATTAAATGGGCACAATAACGGAAATCTTTACATGAACCATATACCAATTATTAAAACGATAATGTAGAACCTCGAGTTAGTGAAAAAAATGCAAAAAAATTAATTAAAGCAATTACAAAGGGGATCTTTAAAGCTTGTACAGACAAATGCAAGAAATAATTAGCTTATATATGTACATGCATACAGGATCTGGCACAAAATAACTTAAGTAGACACGTACAAGTTGTGGGAAAATAATATAACTGATAGCTTTACCTGTTGATACAAGTTATAAAAACATATATGTGACACGTTTGTGAAAAACAAAAGCACGATCTTACATGGCGCTAAAAAGTGATCTTGAACCCGTATTTGCTTATTACGACCTTATTAGGAATAGCAATTAAAAACGAGTTTGATGTCTGAGCCTGTTCATTTACTTATCGATCAGCAAGAGTGTTACAACTACTAAAGTTAACATTTCAGCAAAATGATGCTAAACATCATGTGATGAGGAATGTGCTACTGTCTATCATTTTCTACCTTACCTGGAAACTGCTGGTCAAATTGACAGGATGGAGGGTGTATGGGGTACGTACTGAACATTTGATGTGTTCGTTATATGATTTTATATAAGTGCACCAACCCGTACAGCTGTAGGTTGTATACTATGTATAGCTCTCTAAGCCTATGCGCTTATATCCAAACATTTTTTTTATTTTGCGTGCTAGCCCTAAGCGTGTGCGTATGAATGTAGTACATACAGACACACATTTATCAGTATAAATGCGACTGCACGAACTATTTCAGTAACCTTGGTTCTAAGATGTTGTGTACAATGTATAACTCTATAGTATTGTGAAATGTATAAAAACTCTTAGAAACGAACTTAACCGAAACACCAAAAATCGCCGTAAGATCCGCGAAAAGAATCTTATAACCCTTCGCTTTTTGCTGAACTGCAGAAAAAACGTGAAAATCAAACAGTATTTTACGATGAAAAAGCAGTAAATATTGTGGGTACATCCTTTCGAACAATTATTAATTATTATTTGCATTTGAAGTTTTTACGAGGTGGGAAAAGGTAAAGCTTCACACAGAAGCACTTCCCTATTTAGTAAAGCTTTACACAGAAGCACTTCACTATTTAATAAAGCTTTACACGGAATCACTTCCCTATTTAGTAAAGCTTTACACAGAAGCAATTCCCTATTTAGTAAAGCTTTACACGGAATCACTTCCCTATTTAGTAAAGCTTTACACAGAAGCAATTCCCTATTTAGTAAAGCTTTACACGGAAGCAATTCCCTATTTAGTAAAGCTTTACACGGAAGCACTTCCCTATTTAATAAAGCTTTACACGGAATCACTTCCCTATTTAGTAAAGCTTTACACGGAATCACTTCCCTATTTAGTAAAGCTTTACACGGAAGCACTTCCCTATTTAGTAAAGCTTTACACGGAAGCACTTCCCTATTTAGTAAAGTTTCACACGGAAGCACTTCCCTAATTAGTCCTAGTAACTCAGCGGTAAGATTAAGGGTTTATAAAGTTAAAAAAATCGGATATCGATACACGTGGCGGGCACATCACTGGTAGCCCATTGTGTAGCCTTGCACTTAACAACAAAACTTTCTGACCTAACGTTCGCTACGCAGTTTAAAGATTTAATCCGAATATGCTTCACGAATATTTTTCTTTTAAAAGGAACAAAACAAACATTATATCGTGCAAAAGTATCATCTAATCTGAAATTTCTGAAAACATCGTGTTCTTTCATTATATATGTCGCAGAAACTCCAATACAAGGTAAATGTATATTGTTAAAACAAGATAGAAACAGATCTTCAAACAATTTGAAAACATCAATACTTCCCTATAGATAACCGAAGACAAATTATATTTACTGGTCTAAGTTGACTTAAATATTTGACAAGTACGACAAAAAAAAACTTATCATGCTGAACTAACACGAATGACAAAACTGCTGGAAAATATCATAACATTTGTGTCTCTGATCCTAAAAAATACTATTATTTTGTTTACCAGAAATGAAATACTGCACATTATCGTCTGTAGAATAACACCTATTGTTATTCGGAATACACCTAACTGATGACACTTTAACATGTGTAAATAACTGACGCACATTACGAGCTCAACCATTTTTTTTTCTTAGGAATCTAAACACCAGCCCTAAAATATTAATAAATATTTAAATAGATGTAATTAAAAATTAGGTAAGTACATATGGAAACTCTGCTGTTTTGATTTATTCCGTTATAAGAAAAAAAATCCGTAAAATAAACAGCCTTGATGCATGTGTAGTAACTACGAGTTAGGGCCATTTATAAATTTCAAAACGTGTTGTACTCTTTCTAAAAGCCGTACTGGTTGTTCGATATCGAACAAAATATTTATATACTGAAACGTTGCTTAAATAACTTTTAATTTCTCGACAATTGTGGAAATATTTCGGTATTAAGTTATCAGTATTATTATAATACCATGACGTGTATCTATTGTTAAGAAGTCATACGAACCTCAGCAGATAAATACATAATTTGGAACAATGTTGGCTTTGAGAATATGACTAGACGTCAGTTTAAGTACAGAAACAAGGGGGACGAAGAATGGTAGAAAAGAATTCTACAGTGAGAACACTGTAATTATTCATCACGTGGGAGATTCAGTCACACACCTTAATCAATATACTGACAGTAAAATCTCAAGTTAAAATACGAATACAGTGTTTACAAAAATATACCCCAACCACTCTTCACATTTATAAAATGTTTAGCGTTACCTAAAGGAAGTAATCTACGTGTTGAATACAAAGATTTTGCTTGTACGAATTTCTTTTTGTTATCAAAAGTTGTCAAAAATATATCTCTTAGCGACGAATATATGCGCAGGACTTAATCATTAATGATACGTAGAGTTTGATCGATTGTTACATCTGATATTAAAGAAAGGAACGAAAAGCATGCTAATTCAATACAGAGTTGGAAACAAAAATAGTATATATATATATATATATTAGTAAGTACTGAGGCGAGCTATTTTGGGTCTTAGCCGAAGAAGTATTCACATGCATTATCACTTAAAGAGCAGTTTAGTTCCTTAACATTCAAACATTAGCATGACCAAAATGAAACTAGTCTTAAGTGATTAGCATTGTTCTTTCACAGAATGTCACGATAATGGATTCTGGGAAGACAATTAATTAGACTATTCATATTATTATTATTATTATTTTTTTATGAAAACGGACAACACAAAATATATTTGTGGCTGGGCAGACTTCGAGCATAAAAATATGTAATCTTAATAAGAGCCGGGAAGCTAAGATTAATAGAAATGCTCTCCGGTAATTTTCCCTTTTGATGTGATAATGAATTAAACTTGTCTCTATTACCTAGGATGAAAGATCTATTGTGATTAAAATATTCCACAGTAACTGCCAAATAATAATTTCAAAAATCTAAGTTATAAGGCAGATATTCCCAACCTGGGGTACATTTGCACTTCTCATGGGGTACATGAGTATAACCATGGTTTACACTTTATATGGTGTTTTAATCTACAGTCAGACAAAGTGAGCAAAGTGGCTCACATAATAAAATGATATAAAATCAATATAATTTTATCAATTTTTGATCCTTATATCTTAGGGGTACATGGGAACCTGTCAGAATGCCCAAGGCCAAGGGGTACAGAGGAACAAAAAGATTGGGAATCTCTGCTATAAGGGAAAAAAAAAAGTGTCCAAGAACATAATAAAAATTGGTAATACTCTCTGTGTAGTGGTCAAGCCGAGTAAAGCAGTTTTTGTAGCTATCATTTTACAAGGAATAATTAAGAAGTTGTAACACTGTAAAAGATAAGCTGAATTACATTGTGAAATTGGTAAGATATACAAACAATAGTACGAAAACACTGCATTAGATGTTACTATTAATATGCAGTTAGAAGTGAGACACTCAATATAATTTTTTTTTCAAGCTGAGACATTTAAGACACTTATTAAGGTATGTCTATGAATGAAACATCTTACTTAAAATCTACATTCAGGCAAGTACGATGAACCCTAGATTTTATGAGAAAACCATGTTAACTGCTAAAGTACTTGTTAAGTTTAAGATAAACAACAACAACTTTTTAATGTTGATAATAAATAGCTATTATTTTGAAATATTTATATCAAGAGTAATCAAAACATTTTATGTTACGCTTCAGAAGTTTAAATATACGTTTTGTTGTAGATCTTATAAAAAAAGCTTTGTGTTACACAAATACATATAATATACATGTATTCATAACATAAACAGTACCTTATTTTCTAAAGAAAATTACCATCTGTGATGTGTTAAATGATAACTCTGTGGTTGCGTTAAATGATTTGGACTGCTTATTCCCAGTTTTTATACAGGACAGTATAAGCTGAAGAAATAATGAATTAAAACTCGCACCCAATGCTAGAGAATACGTGAAAATCCCATCTTATTAAAATATCTTGGAGATTTTTTATCACAACGTATTTCTTAAAACATACTGTATAAAATAACCATTGTTGTAGACACTAATTTAAATTTAGATGTCATAAAATACTCACAGTATTAGTGTTGAAACAGTATGGTGAGTCTTAAAACCTACTGTACAAAATAACCATTGTTGTAGACACTAATTTAAATTTAGATGTCATAAAATACTCACAGTATTAGTGTTGAAACAGTATGGTGAGTCTTAAAACCTACTGTACAAAATAACCATTGTTGTAGACACTAATTTAAATTCAGATGTCACAAAATACTCACAGTATTAGTGTTGAAACAGTATGGTGAGCTGAACAATAAGTTTGTATTACATACACAAAATTGCAGCCCAAGTAGACAATTTTTACAAAAATGACAGCCATAGCTAGCTCAAAACATCTGTAGTTTCTACATGAGATAAAATATACCCACAACCACATTGTTAACTAAATTCTTACTGCAGAATATGCTGGATTACATTTTCTTAACTTAACAATTACAAAATTTGTTGCAGCATTTCAAATTCAACACATCGAACCAAAAGAACGAACCTTTGAATCTATTAACTGCAAAAGTATGAATACAGTTATTCCTCATAAATCGACCAATTCTGGTAATATTACTATTATTAGTTTGAAAACTACTACATCAATTTACAAATGGGAATAGGGTTCAAAGAAACGTATTCCAAGCAAACTCTAGTTATGGGAACAAATATGAAACATCTACAATCACATTTAGAATCCTATATCATAATTAGATACTTATCATACTGAAGTTAAACTACAATTTTTTTTTGGGGGGAGGGGGATTAAAACAATTTGAGAGTTACACAGAAAACACATTACATTTGTATCTGGAGGAGAAAGACATTTGTGTCAACAGTGTTGTAATCTTTAAAGAGTTTAGTTATTTTTTAGGATGACATTTGGTAATAATACACCATTCATTTGTCTGTGCCTGGAATGTATCAAAGAAGGTGAGAAGAATGATCACTTCATCAGCTTGTAGGCCCTCTTGTTAGCACCCTCGATACGCATCTCGTTTGACTCTGCCTATGAAAATTGAATAAGAAAAGAAAAGAATGGGTGGTTGCACTTAATTTCGAAATTAGACAAACTTAATGAATTGTCCATCAATTTAGACTTCAGCACATCAGACTCTTAAGCATAACAAATGTATTTTTTAAATTATTATAGCAATAACTGTAGAACTACTGCTTTAGCAAACAGAGCACAGATAAGCCATTTAAAATGTGAGAGCAAAAATCTATTGGATAATAGAAATGGCTTTAAACTCCCCCCAACACAATTGTTGAAGAAGAAACTTTTAACAGTATATGCTGAAGAAAATAGTCATTCCACATTTCTTTGCAATTAAGGGCATTTACAGACGTTAATCGCACTTTATACAAACAATTTTCTAGGTCCCATACTTCTCTGAAAATTACTTCCTCTATTTTTCATTATACCCACCAGATGGCTATTTGTGACAATGCAAGCTTCTGCAAAGGATGACGTGGTTAGTCTTGACTATGTAACTTGGACAATCTTTCCACAAACCAAAAGACCAATGAAAAGGGTCTTGACAAATTTTGTTGTGATTTCAGTTTTTTTATAGGCACATTTCTCATGAAAAGAGAGCTCAGTAGTTTCACAGTGTGATTGAAATGTGTAAGCCTTTGTCAACTTAAAATCCTTGTTTACTGTCTTGTTAATGGAACCAGGTGAAGTTCCCAGTTTCATTGTGATGGGTTTTGGGTTTCTAACTACATCCTTCACTTGTGGATGAGGGTAGTCCTCTAGATTGGCTTGGGATTCCATTGTTCTCCTAAATGCCATTTTGTGCTTTTTTTCTTCTTTCATACAGAAGCACTGAAGGTTTCCTTCTTCAAAACTTTGCGTTCTTAGGCTTTACATTCTTTATTAATCTAAATGTGCAAACATTTCTCTTAGGAAAAAGAACTACAAGATTACTTGTTTCGACATGGAACTGCCAAGCCACACCTCTTAACTGTGGCGATACATTCCTGCATTAGTAACAGTATATACACTTCCTTCAAATGAAGTGCAAATAACTCTCTCTGAAGATGTTACGCTGCTAGTACGCGCTGAGAAGCAATGACATTTTTCTTACATTAATTATATCACTATCCTGACTCCGTCACTTATATTCAGTTCTTGATATAAATGACCATTTCACCAATTTAATTAAAAGTATTACAGATGAATATTCCAAGCATTTACCTTAAACATTACTAATTATCATAAATCATAAAAATAATATCAAAACATGAATGATCTCTATAAATTTTATATTTTTTTTATTAAAGTTTAATATTTAAAAAATGTTAGAGAAAACATAAAAAACAAGACTGATAAATTATTTTTTATTTTATGCATTAACACAGTCATCTAAAAATTGCTAAAACTTCTCACAGCTAAAATTATATTTTAAAGAACTGGAGATTACACATTTGCAGAAATGGTTTGAAAAAAGTAAAACATGCAATATTAAAGCTACAAAAAAAGAGATAAACACGTGGTGAGTGAAGACACTCAGCTATCTAATAAAACTTTTATGAATTGTAGAAAACACTACTGATAAATAGTTAAAAAATCTTGGTCACCTGCAATTACTTACTTTTTGATTTATTCTTGTAAGCTGAGAATTTTGAGAGTCAAGTTCACTTCCCATGTCAATCGCCATGTTTCGCAGGTTTCCAACTATTGTACCTACCTGCTGGATGTTTTCCTCCATTTCATCTTCCCGTGCATCATTTGTGATCCTGGAAAACACAGATAATCAATAAACAAATGTTAACTGACTTCAGTTTTATTCCTGTAACATATCTTTCTGGCTTCTGTAAGTAAATTAAATAGAAATTCAATTTATTATTTGTGTGTTTCATATAATATGCACTTGTCGTGTAAAATAGTAACTACTTATAAAAATGTAATCCTGTGTCACAGTGAATTAGCTCACACAGATAATTATACAAATTCATATTTTAAGTTAATATTTATTACTAAGATAACATTTTGAAATAATAGTTCTAAGAAGGGTGTACATCTCCCCAGGTGAGCTTGTTACCTAAGAAACGAATTGTTTCATATATTTGTCATTTTCTAATGCAGTTTAAAAAGGTGTTTACTCTTTTCAACTGTATGATAAAAGCTTGGTAGGTTAGACAAGGTTGTTCTAAATGACTATATACACTTTTGTTTTAGGTTTCAGAAATTACTTAGTCTTAGAGGTTCAGTTAGAAGCAATACCCTCGGGGTTCATTTAATTCAACAGGTGTAGAAACTATTATTGATTGTGATAAATAACTTCTCACATTTCCTGGAAGAAGTGAATGTTTCTTTTGTTTATTATACTGTGAAAGTTACAACTGAGTTATTATTTATTTCTTTGTACATCTTTAGAAAATGGTTCAATTCTTCATTCATGACAACAACATTCGTCAAACTCAATTCTAAAGAGAATCCAGTTCAAGGAACAAGATGAAAATACAATAACTTTGGTTCCAGTTCTTACACCTTAACACATGTACTTCATGAAGCATTACATCACATGGAAGATGTAGACTAAAGAGTGCTCGTAAACAGCAACACACATTGAAGTATTAAAGATGTGATCCTTACATCACAAACTGCCATGTAAGAAATATATATTATATTGTCTACAAGACGTTAAATTAAATGAGTCAAAAATTGACCATTTAATTTGGTTTGCACTTAAACTCCTTTGTTGTATTCTCAGAAGATAGAATATCAAATGTTTATATACTACTGTAGGAGTTTCTATCACTGTATGTAGTACTTCTAGTCATAAGCATGCTTGTGGTATTCAGGTACACTAAACCTAAGTATGCAAAGAATAAATTAATTCAATGAACAAAATAAAACAAAGCAAATACAAGTTAACAAATGAACACAATTTTTATTCACAAATTATATTTAGAAATTTACTGTCACTCTTATATTTCCCTCCCAAATGGTTCCACAATATGCAATTTTGCAGCAACAGGCCTAGAAACATGGACCCTGAGATTAAATGTTCACCATGCTAATTACTAAGTCACAGCCATTCGTCCTTAAAGGAAGGAGTGAAAACTATACAGGAATTATCACCATTGAAAACTTGTTTTTTCATAGATTATTGGTACAAGGTGAAATGCACCTTATCCGTAAAGCAAGTATTGCATGATCACGAAGGGTGTAAAATACCAAAATGCTAAAAATATAATATTTCACAGAAATTTCAACTGGCATATAATATTTTGTTTCTTCTTGCCAGAAGTTTCGATTGAAACATGCATACACATGTGATATGACACAGTACATCATCAGAAATTTTACCAATTGGAAAATCACCGAGTCATTATTAATCAAATGTATCACAAATTAAGCTCTTATAAGCCACTGAAGAATAATTGCTTTCTATATTTATATGTGGATGGATCTCTGATCAAAATATATTTTTGAGATCATCTGTTTCAATTCAGTATCTTAATTTTCATTGAATATGGTATTTATTTAATCTTTTTTTCCTTGTTTGATGGTGAAAAGTAATTTACCAAATATCAACAGTAATACATCAAGATTACAGTATAATCTCCTTATGATCATAAATTGCAAATGTAGACTAAAGATTAACAAAGGTTTTTGTGCTTCTAAAGTAAGCTACGTCAATGACTTAATAATAAGGTGCACACATATATATAAACAGGCTATCATTCCTATGTCTTATATGGTTAGAATAACCACATATCTACACATATGTATGATACATTTGTTGTCTACCATCAAGCGGATATGAAAGCATTCAAACATGTCCATTATTTGAGAAAATAGTAAAAGGATCTTCATCAGCTGATAAAAAAAGAACTAAGCCATATGTGAGTAAACACCTAAAAACACAGTTTCTAATAAAGTTCTGAAATTATCACTAAACATTTTAATGTGGTCATTCTTAGTTAAAGTTATTGAAACTGTGAACCATATTTAATTTCTTGAACTCAAGCAGGTTTAATTTCATTAAAAAAGTAAATAAGCCATTAACCCTAAACCAAAACAACTGCATACTAAATCATATATTCTGAAGCATTCTACATATTATTACCTAAAATGTGGCTGTTGGTTATATACGTTCTTAAACATGAGCAACTATTACATTTGAATGAAATCATACTTAAGTATACAGAGAAAATAATGGTATAAATTTTTCAAATAATCTCACATTTTCTGTAATCTGTCTTTTTTAAGGATTACAGAAATTTTTAAAACTTTATGCATTAAATATCAATAATTATAAATTAATTAATTTAAGAATTTTATCACAGTTTTTGATGCACCATGAACAAAAAATATTTGTACAATTACTAGAACTATTAAATATGTCCGACACAGAGATAAGACTGAGGGCAGATAACAGATCATTACTTCATGTGTAGCTCTCTCCCCAATAACATCATACCTGTGATGATAAACTGTGAAATAGTAGCCGTTAGAAGAGAGAATGCATGTTTCAGTTACAAAAATATTTCTGATCGAGTGTTTCAATTGCTTTCTTAACTGTCATTCTAGCAGTCTCAAGTTACCTTGCATCAAATGTCAACTTAAAGGTCAGTTTAAACGCAGAGTTATTTGAAATCATTCAAATGAACGGCCTTAATTGGTATTTAGTATAAAATGTCAGGTAGAATTAGTTGATGAAACTATAATATGGAGAGTGACTGAGTAGCTTTATGGTCTTAGTTGTATGTTCAATTTAAATTTGTCTTTTATTTTTTAATTATGAGTTTGAGTAGAAAAGGGGAAGAGTCCAATTTTTCTGCTAATCTAGAACTCATGATTTCATATGAGGTTTAAAATGATTCACTGTATTACTGATTATTCTTACAGAAATAGTTTTAATAGTAAAATGCATGAAATATTATTAAATTTATGAAATAACCACCAACACGACTGCTTCTTATCTATTACAAACAAGTTATTTGTTCAAGAGACTGAATCTCTATTATTTTTTTTCATGGTACCCAAATCATTGTATAAGTAGAAAATTCATGGCAGTATTTCATCTATTTTATATGCAACTAAATGAGGAAAACCTATTCCCATTACATAGAACAATGATAAATTTTTATGATACAAACTGTAAAAGAAAACACTGTTAAAATGAAGGTGTTAAGATATAAAAATTATATGGTAATTTTAGAGGAAGTGTTATTGAACAAAGGCAGATGTTGAGCTCACCAAAACCATGACTTTGTAACTATGTTGATGAATCTTTGGACGAATACTAATACCCCCCCCCCCCAAGTTTTTAAAGTATTAACAATGGTCCACTGTTAAAGTGTAAAAATTACATTATCATTTAATTAGCCTACTACCAGACAATGTTATGCTACATATCTGTGACTATTTATCAACTAATGACCCCAGCTGAAAATCTTCACGCCTTCAAACTGTTGTATAATTACTTCAAACTTAAAACTCCAAAAATAAAACAGTTCAACTAACTTGGTAATATAACCTCCTTTAGAACTTGCTCCATTCCTTCCATCTACAACCCTTGCTGGTTGATCACCTACAACCTTCCCATCCTCATTACCTTTCCAGGTGCTCATATTTTCTCGAAACGTTTTTACTCTGTATCAAAACAATACATATACATTTTGGTGCAAGTCTTTGCAAATAAAAATAATTACTTTTTCTGAAAAATTAAAAGCAGAAATAAATAGTTACAGTGATTTAGGATCACACTCTATACATAAATATTGTTTCCTAGAAAAACAAATAACTTTTTTTTAAATTTTCATAAAATAAACATCATTAACAATAAAAACATTAAAACATGCTAAAAAGATGGTTGCTACATGCTCTATGATTCAATAATACAGCTTTTTAAATCATAGGAAAAGTGACATCAATTCATCTTCCCTATCACACCGTACTTACTTGGCCCAGGGGCAAACACACAAACCACAACATTTCTCCATTCCTGTTAGGTTTTTCTCGGCTTCTTTCATATCTGCATTAATTTTGTCCATGTTCTCTTCAACTCTGTCCAGTTGTTCTAGATGGATAAACAAATAATTACACAAAGAAAAAACATTCTTCTACAGCCCTAAACCTATTGTATCTTTTCAGGTTTAACACATTCAACATAAATAAAATCACTGTCACTGAATACTAATCTAACAAAAAATACTATGCATAAAAATTAACTTTCACTGATTCTGTAGTACAATGATCTTTTAGTGTAGAACACTTGTGGAGCTATAAACTTCTAGAAGGCTTGTCATTTAAAAAATATCACATTATGGCACATAACCTGAAGTTTTATTTTGAATTTATACATATGCATGAAATGTTGTAAAATATGTGTTGCATTATTAATTACTTCATTTCATTTGTAATGCCTTTTAATTTTACTGCAACCCCCCTCCCCAACACGTATACACAAATTTCAAAACTTGATAATAATTAGGCCTTGAACTTTAATCCTATACTAAAACCCAGCAAGCTATTGGCTCTAGCTTTATTTTTTTATTTGTAATATTATTACCAATAATCTCTCAAAATGTCAATCTATAAAAAATTACTTACATTATAGAAAACAAACAGTATAAGGAAAGGACTCCATGCAGAATATTAAAACAATTTTTAAGTACTTTGGCAATAAAATGTATTATAACTTTTCGATGGAAATGTTATTTCAATCAGTTTCAACGGGTCTCTAAGGAGAAACTATTCTCCAACTTCAGATTTTATTCTTTTTTTTTCAAGGATTATTATGTATCATGTACATTAGCCACATTTTTTCTTTTCTAAAAATATGCTAGGGCTCTTGGGGTAAGGGCTGAAAACCCAACCAGCAGCAAGGGCACCCAACTGATGACCTAGCACAAAGGGGGTCATAGAAGTTTTTGGTAGCTTGCCTGTTACCCATAATTAAGACCATTTATTATTAATTGTAATTATTACTGTAGACTTTTAGCAGCTCTTCTGGTAGAAATTATTACATAAGTGTACACCATCTTGAAATGTACATAGTCATTACTCTATAGAAACACAATCTTACTCTTCAGTAGGATAACAAATGAAAAATATATAAAAATGTTTCCAAGTGTAAAGTACTTTCTGTGATAAAATCTATCAAATAATTACGGATTTAGCTAGGAAAAACAGTACAGACAAATAATTAACTGAAAACTCTAGTGGAAACTGTGCTTTTGATTGTTTATAACAAAACAATAATTTTAATATCTTAAACTAAACTGGGGGGGGGGGTATGATATGATGAGCATGGAAAGACTACAATTTTTAAAAAACACAATGCATCATTTATGAAAGGTTACAATCTTACTAAAACTTTCTTTCATTCTAACTGATATCCAATATTATTTGAGAAAAACACTAAACTTGTATCATATTTTACAACTCAGTGCTTAGGGAAAACTATTTTGTACTGAGCTATGTGAATATTCTCTTTAATTTTAGTCTAAAGTCTATAAAAACTTTTAAATTTTTGGTGCTTATTTTGCTAATTATATTGATTGGTTCTTGGAATGTCTGTTGTTCAAGGTAGTTCAATATTCTTTCCTCAAACGATAAGTGCCTTTTTTTTTGCAAATAACAAGGAAAGGGAGCATAACAAAACTTTCCCATAAGGCAAAGCTATATAATACATGCAACTGCCAATGCTAGCCTCTCTTTCTCTGCCTCTTACTAATATTGTATTTCTTTTCTATGATAAGAAATTTTATATACTCACAGCTAAACGGTTTACCATTTTAAAAATAGTCTTAACAAAAACTGCCTATCTTAACCATTCTTGTATAAATTTTATTTGTAGCAAAAAAAAAAAAATCTAGCAATAAAATATTTGGATACTTAATTTGTTCTATTCCGGTAATATTTGTGATACACATTTCTTAACCACAGAAAGTTAGTATAGTTCTAGGGTCTTTCGTCAAATATCTTTAATTTAGTGTATCAGAAATTTTTTTGATATATATACATATTTGAATTTACAAACAAAGAATATTCCTAAGTACTGATAGTACTAGTTTACTTCTGATGCTAACATAACTTAATCTGTCATCTAGAAAAAAATACACTGTATAGACCATGACCTTAACTCTGAAGCCATGCACAAGCAAGTGTTTACTAGTTGTTGTTTTTCCCACTAGAAAATTCAGAACGGCACTAGTAACAACACTATTTTTGTCTAAAATTAACTATAACTGTGCCATGATTAAAGAATAATTATTTCATGTATTAAATGTTAATAAGTACCTAAGTATCTTATTCATATGTATAAATGTTCTGTGTCATGTTTTCTTTTCAAATACTTCTGAACATCAAAACTCATTCTAATCAAACATTTTTATTTAAACTGTTTCACAGAAGTTAAAAGATGCTTCATTTAGATCGAAGCTGGTGTATCTAGGCCATTAGAACCTGAAATGAAAATGTCTATAGAACCTTGCTGCTGATGGCCACCCTATACTAAAATGAGTATTTATAACTGGAAGATATAGTTTAAATGTGAAGAACTAGTGAAGCATTAGTTGCCAACTGGCCTAACATTTGTGTTAATCAGCTATATGGCATACTCAGGCTAAGTATCAGGAAATGGGGATAGTGAGACCACAGCTTCAACTTATTTGATAGTTGCCAAGACATATAGAACATGGGCATACTGGCTTTACACTCACCATCCAAATTCTGCTGTACAGTTTTACCAGCAGTATGGTTAGAAATATTATGCTCAAATGGTTGCTCGATGGAGATAATAATAAAATAGAAATCACGTAAACTGTAGATGTTTTCTCCTTATTCACCTTAATTTGTCTAACCAGCAAGTGAAAAAACTTTGTTAATAACAATTATAATAACCTACTGCACTCAGAACATCGCAATATAAATGAGGGGTGTATTGATACTCAACAGAACAAACCCGTGAATCTTTCTTCGGAAATGCGTACTCGTAATTTTCATCTAGTGGCTTCTAATTTTTACTAGCAAAACCGCAACATTTATCAGCAAGTTGTTAGTTTGCAAGCATTAACTTTGAGTTCTATCTGAATGATAATTATACCCACTAAATATTTTTCCCGTCAGACAATTTAAATACTCACCATCATAACAATTTTACCTGTGGTAGTATAATGACATATACACGATGCATTTTAGCCTAAAACTTTATATCCATATGTGTTTAGGATATTTTGGGACTGACACAGCAGTAGGAATAGATTACTTGATGACATAATTTTGTAAAAGAGCATTAAATGGAAGTGAGTTCTTTATAAATATTCAACTTTACAGTTATATCCAACAAGATACAAAAACATACAATAAACAGTTAACAATCTGCTTCCAAAGCAAGTTTACATCTAGATCTTCAGTAAATTAGAGGAAATTATGTTATTTCAAGTATTATTCTTCATGGTAAGAAGTATATAAATAAAAAACGTTTTATAAAAACAATCATAGCAAAGTTAGTAAT